AGAGAGAGAGAGAGATATTTCCGTCTTTTCCTTAGTAAATTTTAAGACAAAATAAGTTCACGTGAAAAATTCTACATTTTCGCGCCTGAAGAGTTACATGATCGTATATTCACGTAAAACTTTTCACTTTTTATTTTTTTTCATCTTAGAGAAAAATTATATGATCTAAATAATTATATTCCTATCGTAGATTCTAATATTAATAAAAATAGAGAATATGATTTACTTGCGTATGTCCAGGATGTGGCGGCAAGCGAACAAGGTCAAGCGGTTGTATACGCTTGCCGGCGCGAATATCCTTAATTCTTTTAATTGCCAACAATAATTTTTTTTGATGTCCTAATCGTACAATACCGATGTCTTCAAGATCCTCCCAAGTGAGAGTTGTCACGTCCTCAACGGATCGCATACCCTGTTGATGAAGAGCACCAAGATATTCCTCAAGCCTGAGAAGCCTAAGCCATTCTTCTAATGAGCCAGGTATATGATCTGGTAATCCATCTCCTATATTCAAATTGTCTATTTCCGTTTTTAATCGTTTCCTGTGATTAGGTTTTTTGATACCTGTAATAAAATATATAAATGTGTGTGTGTGTGTGTGTGTGTTGTGTGCCGGCGCGCGTGACTGCGTAGGCATGAGTGCGCGCGCGCGCGTGTGTATGTGTGTGTGTGTGTTGTGTATGTGCGTACATACGCGTATGTGCGCACATGCATGTTAAATTACAGACTTCTAGACAATACTAGACTCCTAACTAATATAACCAGGTATGAGACACAGATATGCGCTGCCATATTTATATGGGAATTTTACATAAGATGTCCAAAATATTACACCATAATTATAAAGGGATTCAAGTTTTCAATATATTCATATAGGCACAATGCATTTTATAAACGTTTGTCACAATATTAACACAATGTATTTTGATGTTTATCTTTCATCAATACGTATACGTTGTTCAAAAGCTAAACATCCAATATCATTTGCCCATATAAAATATAACTGTTATCCCTACCATTTGCATCACTTTTTCGAGTCCTATTGTACAAGTGTTAGTTGTCCAATGTTATATAAAAGTCTGTGATTTAAATACCTCATATTGCATATCTATGAATAACATCTATAAATTACGAAGTAAATATAATTAATGTTTAGTAATGTAGATTTACTTTACCTATAGCTGTAAGATCTTCTGGTGTCATGCGCGTTATAGTAGCAAGATCATAACCTGCGGAAGCAAATAAAGGAAAGTATTCTTCGAATTGAAGCTCAGTCAACCAAGCATGAACGACATCGAGATCTGTCGGTCGGTCAGGATGACTTCCGAGAGAACTAATGGAGCATCTAGGAGATGAGGCAAGAGCACCTGGTCCTCTAGGTCCTAAATGATATCCGGATGCTCTCCCAGAATCCAATGATGCAGTAGAATGCCTAGAACCGGAACCTGATCCAGAACTACCAGGACTATCCCTGCCAGGACTCTGAGTCATATCGATACCTAAGAAGCAAAACATTCATTTGTTTTTTGTAGCACATCTTTCAATTAAATATAAAATTTAAAATTCATATAACAATACAAAAGCTAGGCTGAATAATACTAGTGTTTATCAATAAATATATCATGTATAAACAAATATTACCACAAATGTTTCGATTTTAACAGATCATCCTACGATAAAATAAACTAAAAATCAAACTATTAAGAGATAAAGAACAAATAAAAAAAATGTTTGATCTGATCGATGAAATAACTATGATTATCGCAAGATTATTTAAATTTTTTAAAAGTAGAATGAAGAAAATAGAATAAAAAAAGTGAAAAAAAATGAGAAATCATAAATAATGAAATAAGAAGGAGGAAAAGATAAGGAAATTAAAATGAGGGAACGGCAGTTGTTGAGTATTTTAGAAGTTTTTAAGAAGAGTGGAACAAAGAATGAAAAAAGAAATGGAGAGAGGAAGAAGAAAACAAAAAAGAGATAAATGTGCATTTCTTAAATAGTGCTCACTAATTATATTACGAAATTTCTCATTAAAAATTGAAAAATTTTGAATCATTTTTTCTATGTTGAATAATAAATTAGTTATTGAGAAAAATAAATCGAATCAGCGTCGTCCTTTAGATGAGTATACGTGAATGAGCCGAAGATAGCACTGAGCCACTCACGAACTATCAAGTGTACGATTCACTCACTTGTGAGTGAAAGGCTCAGCGTTGTTCAAAACGGCGTTGATTAGATTTATTTTTCTCAATAACAACTTTTCTCAACAATTAACAATTTATTATTTCATTACATAATGTAGGAACAAATGGTTCAAGATTTTTAATTTTTTAATGAAAAATGTCGCTTTATAATTAATAAGCGCTATTTAAGAAACATTTTGTAGACGTGGAGAATTTTGGGAATAGTAATAAAGAAAATAAAGAAAGATAAAACAATGAAGACGGTGTACTAACGAGTATGAAAATATAGAGATACAAGACTGGAAGAATGAGCAAGGATTATGTTCGATAAAATATGGAGAAGGAAGGATGACTGAAAAATTAGAAAGAGGAAGAAATAATTCCAATTATAAAAAAGACAAGAGAAATGAGATAAGAGAGCATAAATGTAACAATTAATGTGCAAAAGGAATAAAGTATGTGTTCCATAACTTATATTTGTTTAATATTTAATATTTTTTATTAATATTTAATATTTAATATGTTTAATAGTTTGTTGAATTTAAAAGGAATTTAACAAAATAAAAAATAAAAAAAAGAGGAAGCGTAAAAGAAGAAAATACACATTCGTGATCTGCAGGTGACAGTATTATTAACTGATGATAGGGAAAATAAGAAATATGTTACTGAACAGAAGAAACGGGAAGATTTAGACAGAAAGAGACGTATTGATCATGAATAAATCAAATATTACAAAGTTTTGGGAAAGAAAGTAGAGATACGAGAAAATAACTTGGCGACGGAAAAGAATAAAGATAGAAAAAATAAAAGTATGTAAATATTTGAATTTGCAAAAAAATAGAGGATGGAAGATGCATTTGAAAAATGTGACTGAAGAAAAGTTGCAATAATAAGACAAATGTTGAGATAGAAAAAAAGAGTTTAAGGATGAGTATGAGGATGAAGGTGAGGATAATCGTTTTCTAAAATCTTCCAAAATGATGTTAAACTTTTTGCCATTATTTCTGCACGGCTACATTATGCAACATTTTCAAACAGCTTTGACTACAAAGTGGAACACTGTAAAGTTGAAGATCAATGTTGTAATTTTTTCACCAGTTACGATAGATAAAACTCTTATTCACAGTAATGAAAAATACGAATATCAAAGATAAAAATTAAAAATTATAAGAAATTAAAAATAATTAATACATTTGTTGTTTGAAAGCGACACTTCTTGTGCTTTTGCGATAAAAATTAGTTTAATAATGTCACATTATATAACTCATACCTTGATCTTCGGCATGAGCATATTTGCCAATCACTTGCGGAAAGGCGAAGCCCGAATGGGTAAAAATAGGTCCCGGACTTTTTCCAGATGGCATCCCATAAGAACCATCGTCAGTCGTACCTCCGGGACCACTTCCAGACAGGAAGCAACTATCCTCGCTGCTAGCATATCCAACCGAGCCAAAAGAGGAACCGGAATGTCGAAATACGTCTGGTACAGCTGGTGGTGCTACTTTCTTTGCTTGAGTCACGACTTTGGACGGCCGACTCATACCGCCAACTATATACAATAAAAAAAAAAGCTTCAATTAACTAAATATTGCAATACATACCAATATTTATTAATATTATAAATTATCATTACAAATTATCAAATTATGTACTATAGAAAACATTTTTAAAATTTTACATTAAGGTTGTCTCTCTCGCTAATATATCGAATTATGACGTCAGAGACGAGAAATGACATGTAAAAAGTTTCTTGCATCGTATAGCTTCATTTTGTACTTTTAATATTTTCATATTCTTAAAACTTGTAAAAAATACCAAAAAGTAAGATATCTATCCAATACGTCACGTAAAAGTGTAAAATAATGGTAACACTGCTTAGCTATCAGAAATCACTAGATCTAGTTGTTTCTGATTTTATTTTGGCAGTGCTCCAAAGATCTCGAAAGACAGCGCATTCACTTTTTGTATGAAATATATTAAATATGTGATTTCAATCGAGCATAAAAATTTTGTATCGGCCATTTTGAATCCGCCATTGTTGATTTTTCCATTTAATTAATGGATTCATAATCAGCATTTCTTCAAGGTTCGGCTCTCTCGCTGCAGCCATATTGAATTATGACATCAGAAGCAAGAAATGATATGTAAAAAGTTTCTTGCGTCGTATAGCTTTATTTTGTATTTTTCTCTTAAAAATATGATATTTTCATATTCTTAAAACTTCACTAAAAAATATCAGAAAATAAGATATCCGTCCAATAAATCACGTAAAAGTGTAAAATAATTCTTAAAATAATGTACACTGCTTAACTATCAGAAATCACCAGATCACTAGATCTACTTGTTTCCGACAGCAATGAGCAATGACCATTATTTCAATAATTATTTTACACTTTTACATAATTTATCGGACAGATATCCTATTGGTATTTTTTACAAGTTTTAAGAATACGTAAATATCATGTTTCTAAGGGAAAAGTACAAAATAAAGCTATATGACGCAAGAAACTTTATACATGTCATTTCTCGCCTCTGATATCACACAACGGGAGCGTCCCGCGACCACGTTGCGATTGATCGCAGCCACTCACAGCGGCTGGTGCCTAGAGGTTTTCCTCTGTTCAAACGCTATGAGTAGTTGATCAATTGCAACATAGTCAAACGGATCCTACCTCACACAATATGCCTCCATGTCGCGCAGCGAGAGATCCGAGCCTTAAAAAGTATGCTCAGTTTCATTTTGATAAAAAATTTGATTACCGTAACACTATGTACAAAACATGTCAAGAGCGCCATTTTGAATATCCTATTCCCATAGGAGATCCATCAATTTTGAAGAAGAAAACTGTGTACAATAAAAATGAAATAAAATAATAAAGGAGAACAGTAATAATAAAAAATATAAAGTACTAAATTTTATTATGTAAATAATGAAAAAAACTTACTGAAACATTTACTCGATGAAGTGCACCACACTTTGCATACTTATATATTATTTACTTCTCAAATTATCAATGCAACATAATATTATTGCTAATGTATATTGCATAGACAATGCAACAAGGTCATAATATCAAGATATGAAGAATAAAATATTTAATACTTAAAATATTTGATATCCGTTATTTTACACGTGCACTTTTTGAATCATTCATATTTTATTTTTCATATCTTGACACTATAATCTTATTGCATTGATCTCATTCAAGTATTACGTGTCTTTCTCGCTATACATAATAAAAACTTCCTATATAAAAATGCGTTTGTCTTTATCATCATTTCCTATTACGAAAAATGGAAGTAGGACACGCCGCATGAAGAATCGAGCGCACAGTCGGATACGGATATGTGCGTATATAGTATATATAATATATATGATGGTATGCGTATGTTTATAATTATTTTTCGAAAATATATTGGAAAATAACTTTATCGTATATGATTGAATTCGTATTAAAATAATCTTTAATTTCTTTAAGAAAATACAAAATTTTTAAAGAAAATATGAAGTAGTAGGAGATCTGTTTAAAAAAATTTATTTTACTTTTTATAATTATTATTACAAATTACTCTTGCAACGATTCAACTTTTATTCAAAACATTTTTTTTCTATCTCTTATAGTTTCGATGATATTTGCTTCGAAAGAAAAATACTGCCCCCCCCCTCCCCTCCCAAGTATTTTATCTCCTAAAAGTGCGTATGGTCACGTATAAAATTCCTTATTTTGCTCTAAAATATAACATATTAAAAGCTTATCAAACTCAGTGGTGGATGCTTTCTTGGCTTTCCTTGTTAGTATTTTCCAATCATTTATTTACAAACTACTTTCATGTAAATATTAATTTTTTTATTTAACATCAATTTTCTCATTTAATTTTAAGATAATAATTTAATTAAATTAGAAATATAATTTTGGTCTGATTATATTTTGTATAACATGCAATATTCATGAACACTTACAATGTAACAGGTTTTTCCAACTGCCATAAATAGTTCTGCATTTGTTTAGAGACGTATTATTCGACAACATTGTTGTTTCACGCATGCACAGATTGCCTTCAGAACAACTTCTAAATAGATTCTGATTGGCATTAACCATGTTAATGGTTGTTTCATACAAATACAGTTTTGTCATTAGATTTTCCGGGATTTCATGAGAAAGCCACTTCTCTAAAGCAGGATCACGAAAACTCTTGTAAGTAGATGACAACTTTTTTGAAGACCTTTGCAAAAATCGTTTTCCAGGTGGTAAGGGTGGAGGACCCAAACAGTTCGTTACGGCAGTGATCGCCATTTGCACCTATTAAAATTTATTCAAAATCACTTCAAATGTAGATGATTTTTCAAAAGTCTGACAATTATCACATATATTAAGTCACAATGTACCGATGTCACATTGATTCTCGCATATTTTTACAGTTTTACACTTTTTGATATTTGAATCAACATATAATAAAAAATACATTCGTATCATTAAACGTATTTATGATTACATAAATATGTCATGAATAATATATGTTTATATATTTATGTAATTATAAAAAAGTTCATCAAAATTATCTTTCAACAGTATTAATTATGGCGAGATATTCTGTATAAATTTTCTTTAAGATATATAACATGTGTGTTTCATATTTTTTATTATTCATATTTCATTTTTCAGATTATTTATGTAATTATTTATTATATTATCTTCTCTAATCTTTGTTTCATAAAGTTATTAAGAAAAGCTTAATTAAATCATAATTTTCCATCTGCACACATAGCTTGAGTTTTTTCCAATCTCAATTCAAAAAACAATAATTAAAATATCTTTTAATTTTTCCAAATCATCCACAGCTACAATAACAATTTATATAACTCTTTAAACAATAGATTATACAAGTCAAGTTAAATTCAACAAAATATTTTTTTATATCTTTCATATAAAACTATTATTGTTTTGCTTCATCTTAATTTATTAAATACACTGTAGCACTAACTTTATTATAAAATGTTTCTTCATTTAGTTTAATAATCGATTTGCTTAACATTATTATCATTTTAATGTTTTAATTCAATTGAATTTATCTCATTTTATGTTATTACTGGATTTATTACATCTATCATTATATAAAAATTTAAGTAAAAATATTAGTTTACGCTAATTATATTTGAAAATTCAAAAGTAATTTGTATGTAAAATAAATTATTCAAATAGTATAATAAGAATACTAATGGAATTAATCACTTTTTAATTAATAATTTGGTTTAAAACACTAGGAGATCAATTCTCAAATCTTTAAAAGAAACCACAATAAATGTATTTATTGAATTTGATTGATCAAATAATTTCTGTATAAATTTTATACAGAAAAAGCACAGTAACAATTGTAAATGCACTGAAAATATAGACGCACGTATGGATCAGTAAAACGGCACATTGATAGTGACAAACGCGAATAGAGATTGAAGGTGGATGAACGAGTTCCGGAACACGGCGTGGGCCGTGTCTCTGCTATGAGTGGGTAGTGTAAAAAACACATTCTATGAATCGATGCAAAATATTGAAAGAATATTAAATAAGGACAGAAGGAACGACCGAGTTGTTTAATATAAGTAGTAAGTAAAAAAAAATAGTAGGTCAAGGTTAGAAGTTAGCAAAAATAGGCATGCTAACACTGAATATAATATGTATAGTTTACTTTAATATGTCTTACTAAATTATTATTATTATTATTATTATTATTATTATTATTATTATTATTATTATTATTTATATATATTTCGGAACAAATATTCCATAAGAACAAGAGAATAAAAATAAAATCTTTATTATATGATTTACTTATTTAATTTAATTTATTTTAAGCTAATTTATACACCAAAACTTTGCGATTGTTTGACACTTGATAAACTTATCACAAAATGATTTGTCGGATGAGTATCATTTTCCGCTTCTTTACCGATGGTCAGTACATGGTCGTCGCGATGTTAAACACATTTCAGATATGCTCGCATAAAGGCCCGAATCGAAATTTAGTCGTAAGAAACTAGGCACGAAGCGCAGAAGGCACTCTGTTATAATACGATATATACTGCAACAAAATTACAATTTTTTTTTTTTTTCAGTTATTATTTTTATAGATAATCAAGTACAGATAATTATAAAAATAAACAATTGAATAAATAAAATTAAATATAAATTAGTTGGAAATGTGTGTGTGTGTGTGTGTGTTGGTGTGTGTGCCAAAAAAATAATCAAAATAATAACAAATTAATAAATTAATGTTACATTATGGGCTAATTTTCTAAAATTTTAACAATCATATGTTATCACGCGACCTCCATAACAATTATAAGATCATCTTTAATATTAACTTATCAGTGTACTCAGCAATGGAATGCGGATTCGCGCAGATTCACTTGTGCAGACCATGTTATTAAGCATCCCCCGTTAGGATTGCCATATTAAAATTTTTTTTAAAACTAAGGCTTACAAGTCAAAACAAGTCCGGACATTTCGGTTGCAATCTCGGACGTATACAAAAATGCGCTTAAATTAATAAAATTGATTAGAATAGTAAATGAATCATTATTTCACATCTAATTGTTAACATTCAGAGCAAAGAGAAATTTAAACTAGATACTAAATAAATATAGACTATTTTGATTTACAATAAAAAGTTTTATTATAGGTTTAGTTTAAATTTTATTAAAATTAAAAAATTTTAACTCTTTTATGTGATACCTGTGTTATTTGGTAATGCAGAATAATGCGAGAGGAATCAAAACAAAATATTTCTTGAAACCCTGGACACTTTCAAAAAATCCCTCCGGACGTCTCCGGACGCCTTAAAAAAGAGGACGGTGTCCGGAGAAAAGAGAACAGATCTAGATCTCCAATGAAATTGAACACAACATGTACATAGTCGCAGAACGAGTTATAAATAGTCATAAGTATATCACAAGTAGCTTTTATTATTCTTATAATCGTTCTTGCTTTTTCACTTAGTACATGGCAAATCGCCATATGATTTGAGAAACAGAGATCAAAGATATCACATAGTGCTCTTACTAGTTATACTATATTGACTTACTTGACAGAAGAATTAATTGACAAACTATCAAGAAGAAGAAAAACGAATAGATTTTAAAACTTAAATTATTAATTTTTTCAACCTTTCCGTTTTAACAAATTAAAATATTTTATTGTAATTATTTGTAAAAAAAAAAAAAAAAACATTCAGCATGTTTATTAAAATGTTGTAAAAAATTTTCTGAAAATTTTCTCGAATTTTCCATGTACTTTTTGTTCAAAATTTTAGACAAAATTAAAGGATTTTTAAATACAATTGTGAAAGAAAGTTTATTTTATTGTGTGCGGTTTTTAATGTTTTCTAATTACAAAGAAAAGCTTTTTATATTTGTAGATATAATACTTTGATTTAATCATTCTAGAGAATATTCTATTTCCTTTATAAAAATTCGCAAGTTACATGTCAATGTACACAGTGGATGTATATATTGTATAAATTGTTAACTTGAATAATTGAAGGATCGTAAAGAATGCAGAGGCATATATAACTTTTGCCACATTGCAGAACTAGAAATGGAAGATAGTAGCAAAACAAAATTTTAAATCGACAAAATTTGTATAATTTATAAAATAATTTTCTTATATATTATTATACATTTGTTAGGAAGAACATTACAGCTTTTATTATATCAACATATGCATATTATCATGAAAGTTATTCATGCTTTTGATTTTTTAAATAAACATTCTTAAATTATTCATTTTTTTTAAGTAGACAATTTTTATAAGTAATATCATTATGCTTATGATAGAATTCTTGTTAAAAAGTTAAAACTATCGAATTTCTATTAGATCTATGTTTTTACTTTATTAAATAAAAGAGAATGGCTACTTATACAAGAAATATTATATACAGAATGGCACAAATAAAATATGACAGATTAATATTTCTAGAATTGCTGGATAAAAATACATTATTTTTATAGATTTTCTTATCGCAAAGAAACCTTTTAAATTAAATGTTACAATAGAATTTTAGGAATCCTGCCGAGACAGTTATAGGGAAAGCAATTTTAAAATTTCAAAAAATATAAAACGAGTAACATAATAAGGTTCCATTTCTTACTTAAAATATTTTTTTTAAATCTTAGTAAAAGTTACTACTAAAAATTTTAGATCAGAAAATATACAGATTTGTTATATGTTATCGGTTCATTTATAAAGTTAATAATAAATTTTCTTTTCTAAATTTATTTTATTAAACGTTTGGAAAGTTAGTGATTATCTTTTAAATATGTTTAATCTAAATATTGTGTTGAGTTTCATTATACATTTAATAATATATATGCCATGATAAATATACAAGCACTTCGCATTCTTTGCTTTATGTCTTTTTTGATTGTTGGAGATATAGAAAATACTTCGATTTTTCAAAATTTTATTAAATTTTAAATTAAATTTAATTATTGTATTTATAAATCCATAGAACAGATTTCTACATTTTGTGACGGTACATTGTGTAATTTTTAATAACTGTGATTTTAGAAAAAAATATTTGAAGTAAAAGAGAGATAGTTAATTTTTAATATAGAATGCAATTATATTACTCTTTTCATAGAGTTTTATATTTCATTTCATATATCACATTTTATATTTCAAAGTTGTCTCCTACCGCCTTCTCAAGATTCTCAAAATTTAATTATAACACATTTAAAAAACCACTTTGTAATAAGAAAATCGCTGGAGAAATATATCCATATATTATCCATTCCCAATAAATCCATATATTATCATATTATTCATCTATTCCTGAAATATTTGTAACACTTTATTTGAGTCACTTCGTATGTATATGTATAAAATGAAATGTAAGTGAATGCTTAATGTATCACTAATATAGCTCTTATCCTATCATTACTTTCGATGAAATTCGAAAAAATCGGAAAAATTCATAAATTATCATGAATTTTTCCGCTTCGAAATAGCATTATAGAAACAGAACAATTAGTGTATCTCTCTCTTTCTCTCGCACCATCCACACACCACCACCACACACACACACACACACACACACACACACACACACCACGCGCGCGCGCCACGCATAACATATGTGTAATATCGACTAACCAACACAATTCTATAATCTTATGACTTTAACACGGAAATGCAAAAATTAAGAATAATTGTTCTTAAGGAAAATAATGAAAATGCGAATTCCGTTGATGGAAAGAAGAAAGAGCACTGAGAATGAAGCACAAAGGCGCAACATTCGGTAAGAATTGTAGCGATGGCTTACCACTAATGCGTCTCATGGCGGCTCACGACGCGGTTCACGTTCGAGGTCCTTCAAGCTGTACCCTGCGCCGTCGTCGTAACACGGATGATAGATCCTCACGCGCAACGTAAACAACATACCACACGGATCTAGCACCGATGTATCATCTATACCAAGCACACATCGACCCCGTACAGCATCGAGGCCCTCGCGCCATTGCTTACGCGAGTATCGCTCTTCAGTCGGAATCGTCGGAGACGTGAGCTCTAACAATTTGCGCGACGCGTGATTACGCGCAAAGCGACCGCACTCCGTTTTTATTCCGAGATCTTCGATACTCGGTAGCACTACACCGCGGATAAAGGACAACGTGAACGTTCCTAATGACTATTCTATAACTTACGTACGGAAAACGATGCGACAAACAAAACAGACACGCGACACCGCAATGGATTCTCGCACAATGCCGATTAATGCTTATAACCACCACCAGGGTGTACGAGTTATCAGTCACTACCAATGAATATATCCAAATAAGTACAAATAATATTGAAAAAATAAATTTAATATATGAATAATGTCCGTTTACATACATCATAGATAAAGATTTCTCAAGTCATTTAGCAAAATCTTATGATTATTTATATATATGATATTTATATAATTTTTTATACATGTATTCTCTGTCTCTTTTACTTGTGTGTCAATTATTATTCGGTTCATGAAATATAAATTAAAAATCAAAGGTATAATTATTATATCCCCTGGAATTATAATGATTCTTTATAATCCTATGTTAAACAGCCACTTACAAAACTTATTTTCAATTTTAGACAAAAATTTAAGAGTTTTAAAATTTCGAAAGACTACAGATAATATTGATTCATTTAGACGCCATTATTGATATTTATTAATGCCATATATCGATTAAAATCATATAATACAATACCAGAGAGAAGCCTGAAAGTGGGTCATGGATGCGTTTTAGCTGTACCCTTATTCGTAGGTAATGTGCATGTTTTCGTGGTTCTCTTCCGTGCTAGACGCAAGAGTGATAAAGAGAGGCAATTATGGACATGACCTATCTATCTTTACCTACACGAATAAAGGTACAGCTAAACGCGTCCATGACCATTCTCAGGCTTCTTTCTGATAATACTCTTCCACGATAAGTTCCTCTAGTTATTCTTAAAACTGTCTCTCATAAAATTATTGGATATAGCTTTTGCCTCTCATATTGTTTTTTTTTTTTTTTTTCACACAATTTTTAATCGCGCAAATATACAACTTAATATAATCCAATCTGAAACCTTCGTATGTATGTAAACCTATGTATTTCATATCTTGTGTTTATATATGTTTACATAATGTAGATAATAAAATAAAGCAAAAATTACTATCTTTATTCAATTTTATTCTTCTAATAATTTAATCTTTGAATTTAAATTTTTCCTAAATATCGATGATCGATAACAATTTATGTAACTTTACCGACTATACGTAATTATATTCATATTAAATTTCCAATCGTCTATAAATTACTTCTATAAATTACGTATTAAACATAAATAAAATTTGGAAAATTTGGAAAAATTTTGGCAATTTTAATTATTATTTTGATACATTTCTTGACATATAAATTTTTGCACAAAAATTGCATGCAATTGCAATTTCACATGTAATTTTCAAACTTAAAATGTTATTTCAGTCTTGTTACATTCTTGAAAATTACAACATTTTTCCTTCATATAATAAATGTCAAATCTTGTGTTATTTGAAGTATAAAAATAACCATCATGAATATAAAAATAATAAATGTAAATAAAAAAATAGTATTTTTATGTGTCCATAATATCACAATTATCATATACATTATAAGAAAAAAAGAAAAAAAAAAATTGATTTGTTTTGTAACAAGAACAATAAACTCTCTATAGACATTTTTTTTCCTTTTTTTTTTTTTTTATTTCTAGAGTAATTAATTTTTCACTCATATATGTATAAAGTAAAACAAAGAAAAACTAAAAAATTTTTTTATACATATATCAGAAAGACTATACTAGAAACTATATTGAAAAAAAAAAAAAGATGGATGGAAAATTTCAATTTCAATTTCAGAATAAAGGAATTTGATTATAGTATCTTAATTTTCAAGTTAATGTGTTAATAAAAGTTTCTCGTTTTCTAGATGTTGCTCCGAATAAAGATGACCACGTAATTCTAATAAGTCAATTGTTTCCTTTTTACATAATTTATAAAAAGCAGCTACATTTCCCACTACGTGTGTATCCCTGATGAAAGAGATTAAAACATATAAAGTACAGTTATAATAATATACATAAAAATACTGTCTAAAAATACTTACTGGCAAGACGCTGTAATTGTAAGAGATGTTTCAACATAGCCTCGGTCTTTTGTTCATCTATTTCGCGTAGTTCTAATGCTTTATGCAACGAATATACGTCACATTTTCTCATCATTTCTAGAGCAGATGGCGGTCTGTTATAATAATTCCATTCACTGTTAAAATAATTGACTTTATCATCTTCTGGATTTCGTGATTTTGTTTGTTTTTCTCAATTCGAGTAAAATGTGTTAAAATTTATTTTGACAAATTATAATATCATCATTATTACAGTTATTGTCCAATTGCATTCCGATATTTATGCAATTATGCAATTTATTTATCTGTAAGTTTAAAGTTGATAAAAATTAGTTACCAAAGTTATTATTCTATTATTATAATGATAAAATAATAATATTATACGAAATAATGATAAGAGAAATAAAAAATAATAAAAAAAAAATTATAATTATAATAAATTATAATTATAATATAATTATAATTATAACTATAAAATTATTGGAAGATAGATTTTGATGATAGAAAACAATCTAATGTAAGACATATTGCATGACAAATTATACATAAAATATAATTGCAAAATACTAGAAGACAAATTCAATGTTTATAAGGATAATATATACACATATGATACATACATACATGATTAAAAACTAATTAAAAATAATTAAATTAAAAAGTAATAATACAATCACAAAAGTAAATTTAAAAAATTAATTTAAAAATTAAATATACCTTCCTAAAGATGACTTTGTTTACTTCAGTATTCTTTTTAATTCCCAAATGGAATAATCAATTAGTGACTTTATTCGCTAGAGTCCAATTCACGAAGAGTTCTTAAATAGAGAATTCCCCCCTCCCCATTTCTTTAGGTCCATTATCTCTCGGCTTGATAAGTGTTTAATCGACAGTTTGCCTTTTCATTCTGCCACATTTTATAAACGTTTAAAGTAGCGATGCAGTCATCGTTGGAACGAATCCATTTTTTTTTTTTTTTTTTCCGTTGTAGTATATGAAGAAACAGTAGAATGGCATCTCTCAAGAATAACAACATCGTTAACAGACATACTAGCTCCCATAATAATAGCATCTCCAAAGCAAGTAACACTTCAAAAACGTGGCCCAACATGATAAATTTCAAAATTCGAATATCGAGCGGAAAACGCGCCATCGCTTTGTCAAGATCAGTTAATTTTCCATCGAAAGATAGGTAAGAATCGTCCTCATCTATCAAAGCCCCGACTTCTTTTAAGATTAGAATATCGTTTGCCAAATTAGAAAAACTGATGGATCAAGGGACTGCGAAAGAAGTACATGTGGCTCATCGATATCAAAAACTTTAATACGAAGAATAACATTAGCGAGCGAAACGCGAAGCATTTCCACGAAGCATATACTTTCATCATCCAAAATATTCTGTAAATTTTATAGGAAAATAATTAAGAAATTATCGCATGGCAAACACAAAACATGATTTCTAAGTATTTTAATTACTTACATCATAAAATGCTTTTTACTAATCTGTACACTCTATCTATTGTACGACCCGCTCGTTGTATACAATTTGCTTTATTCGCTCAACAAAGTTTTAAAGTTTGATATCGAGTGATGGGATTCTCGATCAGTTGTTTCACAAGGCAAAAGTATCTATTATTAGAAATTATGTATCAAATTCCTTTTTTTTCCCTTTTTCGATAATCATTATATTATTTTATATATTTTTAAATACTTTTAATATTTCTTTTCACCATTAAACCGTTTTTTTCCCTTTTCAATTTTTATATGAATTAAACGTATAATTTATATAAAAATTGTATACCATATTTTACATTCGGCACAGTAATAATGTTTTCAGCAATATTTGTAGAAAGTAGTAAAAAATAACGCGGCTATAACCTTCCAATGGTTAGTGAAAAACACGTAACTGTCCGTCATCACACACAGAAATCAATAAATGTAAAATCACTAGATTCCATACTTTATCTTTGTGACAAGTCAAGTAATTATATAACTTCAATTTCATAAAGTCCTGATAAAAATATATGAACAGCACATCTTTGAAATGAATTTCAATCTTCTGCATTATTTATGTCAATTTTATCTAAAGCATCGACAATAAGCGAGCAAAAATTGATCATATATTGACTAATTTTTTCGTTCCACAGCAGATACTTTCTACAAAATACAAATTTATCGTTACGCATCATGATACAAATTTGTACATTTGCAAATTTTATATATATATATATATATGTGTGTGTGTGTGTGTGTGTGTGTGCGCGCGCGCGCGCACACACACATTCAATCATCAATACAAATTATAAAATTTGAAATAATTATTTTCATGTGTACTTATAATCTCTAGATTTGTTATCTCAACCAGATAATACGTACAAATTACAAAAATTTTTCTGTTCTGGAATTTTGATAATTTGGGAATTTCGATACTGCTAATTCATTTGAAAAGTATTTTGCAAATTTTGTTACATTGATTATTGCCGACATGAGAATAACTTTGACCTGTCTAGAATTTATTTGTAATAATCTTTTAAACGAATAATAGAAAATGAAAATTTTGGTTTAGTTCATGAATTTCATCTAATATAATGTGCATATAATTCAACATATGTTAATGTTCAATTAAATGTTAGAATAGAATTTCGGTGATGCAGTTAAACGAATTTCAAATGAAGTTTCCCTTTTCATGGTACTATATAGCTCGAGGCTATCAAGGCTACGAGGCTACCAAGATCCCAATTTCCTTCTTGGCTGACTCTTTTGGCAACACTTATCGTAGCAATTTGTCTTGGTTGCGTAACTATATTAATATTATAATTCTTGTATAATCTACATATTACTTTTCTCACGATTTAATAATACAAAAATATAAAAAATTTGATAAAAATATATCTATAACGTTACAGTTAAGCCTTTTCTTCATATAAGTATTAAGAATGTATCGTGGAATCTGAGCCTATTTTTTTTTTTTTTTTTTTTTTTTTTTTTTTTTTTTCATAGCTGGTTGTTCCCTGCGTAATGAGTATAGAATTTATCTTGATTATAGACAGTATCTTGTTTCTTTCACAGTTAAGATAGATAAATCATTAAATTTTGGATTATAAGTAAAATTGCATTCTCGATAGATTTTAGCCAGATTCTCTAAAGTTTCTGTAGATCATTTTCTAATCCTGGGGATGTCATATTTAATTCTTCTATATTTCCATCTTTACTATTCATATACTAAAAAAAACAAATTTAATATAAAAGAATCCCGTTTTATATATATTATGTGATAAAATAAGAAACTATTTTACTCTGAAATATTCCTTGGCTTCTGTCTGTATAATTTTTTACAAACGTTTCTTTCATGATTTGTGTAGCCTTAAAGTTATTATTTCTCTCATTTGAGGAAGCCACAATTTTCAATTTGTTTTATACAGCTTTCTAAATGTAAAATGTTTTACTATTAATAAATATATTTCACATATAACTTTGTAATAGAGATAAAAGAAAAAAATTGGACAACGCAATAGTAAATTCTTAACTTTTTGTTAAGGAATTATATGTTTATGTATAAGAATGTTGGTAAATGTCCAGTTTAAATCCACCTACCTTCGATTTTGACAAAAAGGCTTCGACGCGTCTTTGCGTCTAAAACGAAAGAATCTGACAAAAAAAGCATACGCTCTACCTCGCAAACGAAATTAATCATTAAAGTTTACATTATTTAGGGTTAGGAAACCTATACCATATCGATGAAAGGT